CCTGTCCGGTTGAACTTTTGGCATCCTTCGAGACGTGCTGATGTGTACTACTGGGCCGATGAGGTGCACTGACTGCTGGAGACTTCTGTGCTGCTCGTCGCGCGATGTGATTTACGCGAACTCCGCTTTCCTTCTCGGGAGCATTGCTACAAGCATACCTCTCTTCTTGCTCACCAATACGTTGGCTTCTTTTGAGGCTGGTGCTGCGAACTAGCCTTCCTACCCACCTCCTGCACTCATTGCACACCGGTTCCGAAAAATACTGCGACATCTTCAGCGATGCTTCTGCTGTCCACTGAGAGCAGAAGGAACATCTTTCTCCACCCCTGTCCTCGTGGTTGTCTTGCCAGGCAACTTCCCCACGGCTGCGAATGCCAGCGGAAGATTCTCTCTGGATAGCTGCGCTGGGTGCTGGACGAGTCTCCTCTGCCGATCTACCAACTCCCTGTTCGATAGATCCATTGGCATCCTTCGAGTCATGCTGCAGTGTACTACTGGGCAGGTTAGGTGCACTGGCTGCTGGAGGGTTCTCTACTGCCCTTCCCTCGATGTGATTTACGCGAACTCCGCTTTCCTTCTCGGCAGCAATGTTACAAGCAGATCTCTCTTCTTGATCACCAACATTTCGGCTCCTTTGGCTATTGCTGTGAACGCCCCTTTCTGCCGACCTCTTGCACTCATTGCACACCGGTTCCGAAAAATACGGTGTCATCTGCAGCGGTGTGTCTACCCACTGAGAGCAGAAGGGACACCATGTATCCCTGGCCTGTATGTTGTCGTGCAAAGCGACTTCGCGACTGCGGCTAATTCCACCCGAGGATGTTGCCTGGATGGGTTCTTCCACAGTAGATTCACGCAGCATTTCGCCCGTTCTCCAACAGTCACCACACACCCGTTTCGGAAAATGTTCTGACCACTTCAGCGGCCCTTGTACCTGCCGGGCACATATAGGGCACGTTGCCAATTCGCCTTTATGGTTGCTTTGTGAAGGCCCTTGAAAACGCTTAACCAAATCGTTGACGGTACGGGACGGTTCCACAGCTTCTCTGGAGAAGACTTGTCGGCAACTTGGGCAGGTTGGTCGTTCTGAATTCAGCAACCTCCACAGACAGGGGTCTCTGCACACGACATGTCCACATGGCAGAAAACATGCCTCTGTGCAAGTCTCTCGGCAAACCGAACACTGCACTGCCTCCGAGAGAGCTTTAGATGACACCGCCATTGCTCACTAACTGACGTAGCTGACACCACCACCATCAATATCTCCGAAGTCTCTGAGCTTAGAGAGAGTGAAATCGAATGAATGCCGACTAATCAGCGCTAAGCGTATATCGCGCGGGGGGTGTTTTTAATATATGCCAATGTATACGTATATGCAGAGTTTGGCAGTGACCTCTTGGCGCTTGATTGGTCCTCTTGGAGTACCTATTTGGTTGTTTACTGTACACAGAACTGACGAGACAGAACTGACGCCCTCACTATAATTAGCCAGTAGGGTTCTGGATTGAATTTATTGTTAACGGTTTAATGCGAAATTATTTGCCACCAAAAATGGATCCATGTTTTTTGTAGCAAACGATACTGTGATTAGATCTTGTTTTTGCGAACAACATCTGACAAGCGTCGGAATGATGCCGAATACTGTACTGATGTAATAATGGTTCGCAAAAACGGGTCGAAATTTAACATTTTGTCAATGATCTATACCAATGCCACATATTCCGTTAAGGGAAGCAAACAAACTAACCTGTTTCTCCTAAAACCTGCAGAATGCCTTGGAAGTTGACATTCGGCATTTGTTTGCAGTCTTTATTCACTTTTGCAACACAGTAAATCTTGTTTAGAATGACAGTTGTTCCTACTCTTTGGCCGTATACGGCCATCAAACTTCAAACATAGCAAACTTGTGATTATTCTCAAGTTACAACATCTAGGGACATAGTTATGTAGTGGGTCGTTGCTCTTCCTATCGTGACCTTAATCTATCTAGACATCAAGGTCGTTGTCGTCGACAAACTTACTGGCGTTTGAGAAATGGACCACCCACACGCTGTCCACCCGCACGCTGTCCAACCAATCACGGGCCGCCCTAGCCAATGAACGCTCTTTCACTCTGTCTACTGACCTGACTGCTCTTAAACTGGAATTGGATCGCGGCTGGCTCTCCTCCTGGTCGTGTTCTCCCAAGTCAGACTTTCTCCATCTATTCTCCGTCATGTGTACACAATAAACTCTTCCTCCTACTCTGACCTTTACCGAATTCTCCTCAACC